TTGGGGGGGGCCCCCCCCCCCCCCCCCCCCCGCACCCCTCTGACTTGGCAATCGGCTGCAGAGGGACCCTGGGTGCCCTCCCAGACCCAGGAGGCACCAGTCACCGAGCCAGAGATTTGGCCACTGAATTGAGCCGAATCTCCGCTGAATCAAACCAGGGACCAAAGCTTTGCACAGCCCAGTGCAGCATTGGCCGTCAGGGTGAGAGCCCCCTACAGATTGCTTGTTTGTCAAACCCACACAGAGTGTAACAAGAATGTGGTGAATATTCTGGGGGGACTGAGAGGTATTAATATGTTAAGTGGGCTCGTTCCATCAAGGTGCAACTTCCTGAGTGACTTGGAACTTGATAGTCAAGGAATATGGAAAGTGGGTTGAAATGGTAATGCACTGATATGCGAGAGACAGGAATGTACTATTGGATTGCCAATTATGATGAGCCTGTGATTAGATGGCTCAAAGAATAATGTATGTAGAAACTTGTATGCTCTCAGGAGATCTCTGTATTTGCGCACCCTGACACTTATCTCCTATCAGTTGGGCTGACCAGCCACTTACAATGAATAAAGGCTATTTGGTCTCTATTCAGTTTCTTTTACTCACTGGCAAACCTGGAGCACTGAGATCAGGAGAAGTGTCCCTGTTAACATGCAACATGCATGGGACCATGGCCCCGCAGAAGACATAAGAGCCACCAATTGCTGGAAGGTGGAGGCAAATGCATTCATATTAAAAAACCTGTGCCTTATTTTGAACAGTGCAAGTGTTTAGCCATTGAAAAACTACCAAAAGAAATAATGGATTCTACATTTCTTAATGTATTTACTTCCAGACTGAATGCTCCTCTAGACCAGATACTTTATCCAGACAATTTACTCAGCAAAATCTGGGGCAACTGGGCAAAGCTCTCTGGTTTGCGATATGTAGGTCAGGCTGGATGATCTAGTGAGGCCATTTTGTCCCTAATAAACCACAACCTCTGGAAACAGCATTATGTAATTGCATAAAAATATTAACTCATTCTTTTCCCAGCACAAATGCTCCCTATTTTTGGGGGGGGGGGAGGAACACAGCCCATTTCTGGCCTTATAACCAAGTTTCCAGTTAGCCCATAGCAGCTTGAGACTCCCCTGTGGTAAACACATTTCTGTGGAGGCTGTGACCCCAAGTGGCATTATGACCCCTAATTTGCAAATCACTGCCCAAAGGCTTGCCTCGATACTGGACCCACAAGAGCACTGCCAAGCCAGGTTCTCAGCTGGTATCACTCAGCACAGCTACATGGACTTCAGTGGAGCAGCACCAAGTTACAGAAGCCAAATGAGAATCTAGCCATTAACTTCAAACACAGATTACTTCATTAAGTAAAAACAAGGTATTTGCCCATTGCTCACCTATCAACCAGGGCATCATACAACTTACCCTACCGTTTTCCCGTTTCACTTTGGGCCCCTCCACTGTCCTCATAGCACCTCCCACAGAACTTCTCACAAGTCCCTAATTGTAGAGCTGCACTGATACATTGGTCCATATCATATCAGTACCGATAAAAAGGAAAATTGACATTATCAGCAATCGGGGTTTTTTTTTGGCTAATGTGGCTGATAATCTCACCAATAAATGACACATGCATAAGCATAGCTGCAGCATGCATGCAGCCAGCTCAGCAGCTTGGAGAGCAGCATCCAGCTGGTAAGTCTGTTGGGGAAAGAAGCAACGGGGAGGGGTGCAGATCCAGGCCCCCACAGATGAGGAAGTGGGGCTGGCACTGCCCAGCCAGGGCAGGGCACAGGACAGAGCCACAAGCAGCTCATGGGGGGGGGGGGTAGCTCCTGTCACTGTGGGCACCCGTGGTGGAGGTATGCGGGGGTGCCCCCCAGATCTGTATGCAGAATGAGGGTAGGCTGCTGCTGCAGGGTGGGGTCAGGGGTGGTGCCAGGCTCTTCCTGGAGAGGGGGAGGGGGGACTGGACTGCGGCTGTGCTCAGGGCAGGCGGCAACAGTTGCACTGGAAGTGGGGGCTATGGTGGGGGGGGGCTACAGCCACCACAAAATTCACTGTAGTCCCCTGTAGCACCCCCACCTCCCAGTGCCATCACTGTCACCCACCCCAAGCACAGCCCTGGCTCAAACCCCTGCCGGGAAGAGCCCAATGCTGCCCCAGCCTTTTATTTCCAGGTTTCAAAGGTTCTAAGGCAAAGCCAAAAGGGAGAGGAGCTGACAAGGCCCAGGTTCAACTTGTATGTCCTAGCCCATCCCCTCAGCTACACAAACAGAGTGCAGTTCCCTCAAGCCATGTGCCTTCCATTCCAAAAGCTAACAACATTATTAAGTCCAGCACAGATACTGCCCTCAAGGCTAGTCACAGGGGCTGTGCTTCAGAATGCAGGTTAGAACGTCCTCCCTGGTCCTCACATGCCATGTCCTGTCCCAGTTACTCAACAGTTTCAGCTATGTCATACATCATGCCAGTAATCTATCAGCCCTGGCTTATACACCCAATACATTCTTCACACTGTGAATATTCATAAAGTGTACAAACCTGTTCTTACAGAGACCAGTGGCAGCCTTCCCATTAATTTTAACATAGGGAGGCCTGGACCATTACCTTGGTAACTTCTCCAAGGGGAAGCACAGGGGCTATATAAGTTTGTCAACAGTAGCTATAAGGCACTGCAGTTCAGTGGGCTAGTCCAACTCCCTGTGTATTTTAAGAGTCCTCCTTCCAAGACCTTGCCTGCCCGCAAGTTCTCTGCTTGCTAGTAGTTCCCTTCCAATACTGGTCTGCCTATTTTTAAATACCATAAGATGTATTCTACCTGTTCCTACTGACAGTAAGACATTCAGGTTAAATGGAGCCCCATAAGTATTACTTTTCAATTTCACCTTGTAACACAGTCTCTCACTGTGCTCCGTCAGATCAGCATCCTCTGCTCAGGGGGCTCTAGGCATTCCGAGAGGAATAAGAGCAACAGCTGTAAGGCAAGGAGAGCAGTTTCTTACCAGGAATAGCCAGCCACTGTGACATGGTAGCAGCAGCTGCATTCAGAACCTTCTCCTCTGGTACCAATTCATCTACTATGCCTATCTTAAGGGCATCAGATGCAGAGTACAAGAGTCCCAGCTGAAGGGAACGCTCAGTAGCTCTGTGTCCAATTGTGTTCACCATTGTATCCTTGAACCTAGGAGAAAAGAAGTGTTCTAAGACAGGGAAGAAGCCACAGGCCAACCAAAGATTGAAGAGAAGCATTTAGGTTTCAAAAGGAAAACCAGTATTAACCATCACATCCTTTTCAGGACTTCTCTCCTGCAATGTCTATGAAAAACTTAATAAGGGATCACTGTTATGGACACTACTCCCTTACATGGCTCTGCATATTGTCGCCTTGTACTGCAACTGTTGGCTCTCTATGGCATGGGTGGCCTGATACATATTTGT